TCAGGGGCTGACAATCTTCATTATACGCACGCTATGCCGATGCTGCCCACGTTGCTGGCGTCTGACCGCCGCCGTCCATCACATACGCCGACGCCGGTGCCGTCGATGGGGTGAGAGGGGCGCCAGGGGCCAGCTGGGGCGGCGAGAGGAGCCTTTCTGACGGGATGACGGCGCCGCCGGGCCTCGGAGAGCCTCGAGACGAGCAGGCAATACAGGGGTTGCGTAGTGGCCAATCAGCTTTGATGAATGGTGGCCTGTCAGGAGGGTGTCCGGCGCTGTGCTGGTGATGACCGCTGGGCGAGATCGAGCTTGTGGCTACGGCCTGAACGACATAGATGTTGTACCTAGTGTGGACTAGTCCGTACATGTGCGGGCTAGTCAACGCTATTTACATATATATATATATATATATATATATATATATATATATATATATATATATATATATTGAGCCCGTAATACGGGTACTTGGCATATTTTGCATAACCACACTGTCATTACGCTGCCGCTACTTATTTGCAGACATGTACCTAAATCCCAGAAGTTGAGACCGAGGTCTGTTTAAATATTGGGTTCAAGGTCATTTCGAATTTCAAGGCTATTATAAGATTTTATCTAGGTGCATCGTTGAATCCGGGGTGTATCCAGACCGTTGTCATCATGTCATGGTCGGTACTTTCAGGAACCGGAATATTTTTTCAATAGGGCACAAAATCTACCAGGATCAACTTTTGTAACTGTGCTTGATATTTAATCTGACCAAAGAAAATGGTGAGCTGCTGCATTTCTGAAATTTAAGCCTTAACGGAACAGGAAATTCGCCTTATTGTGGTGAACCTGTCATACTTCCTCTCGGTGGCCTTTGCCTGTTCGAAAGCTCCCTATGGCCTTCGCATGAAAACTTACTGCACAGAGTTATGTTCTTTCAAGTCGCCCCAAATGGCACGGAGTGCGGTCTGATATGTTGCTGGCTTAAAACGCGAAAAGAACGGATAGTGTTTCTCCTTAGCCAAATGAATCGCTATGATCTTATATGA